GTGACATATGCCTGTAATCCCAGTGCTGGAGAGGCTGAAAGCAGGAGGATCACTAGGAGTCTGAGCTGTGTGGTGAGATGCTGTAACAACCAAATACATTTTTTTTTAATATCTTACAAGAAGATCCCTCATCTCTGTCTTCCTGCTACCTTTCCATCATGGTTCCAAATATTTTAATTCTACGTGTCACAAGCACTGCTATTTGACGCTCTCTATACACTGATTCTTTCCTCCCCATCCCGACAGGACCTGGAGCTTCAATCAAATATTTCTCTAATTTTACCCAGTTTTTGAGAGAGTAACCAACATACTTTACCTTTCAAAAGCCGACAGTACTCAGGGAGGCTGAGGCAGGACACCTGCTAAGTTCAAGCAATTTAGCCACCTAGGGAGACCCTGTCTCCAAAAACAGTGGGTGTGGGGGGCTGGAGGCGTAGCCCAGTGTGAAGGCCCTGGATTTGACCCCCAGGAAGGTGAAGCAGGAGAAAAAGGGCTTCTGGAGAGCATGAAGTTAGTGTCCGATTTGCAAACAGTATTGAGGGGCTTTACGGTGATGCACTGCTTGCTCTTCTTTCCAACTGAGTTTCCCCCAGAAGCTGCTCAGTGACATAAGGAAGCCACGTCTCTCAACCAGAACACAAAGAACATTTTGTACAGCAAAAAAGACAGAAATTTCAAACTAAAAAGAGATTTCATCACAAGACTTAGATTTGGAAGGGAACTTTGCCACCTACTACTTTTTGAGTAATTTCAAAATCTGAAGTATTCTCTACATCAAAGGCAAAGAATGCGAACAGAGAACCTTTTAAGTAATTTTCCAATACATCAAAAGCATTGAAACGTGGTTCTGTGCTTTCCAAGATTTGATAGCTAGAATGTTTTAATTTTAATTATATGAAAATTAACACGTTATGCTGATGCGTCTAAATAGAAAGGAATGATTTTTTAAAGTGGATGTTGTGATCTTGTAGCTGCAGCCGGCCAAGTACAAAATGTGGGACCAGGCAACGTCGCCTCTACTGAGGCTTCCATTGTTCAGAACTTTAAGACTCCGAGGAGTTTTCTAAGAAAGCGTGACCCGATTTTACGTTCTTTCTATGTAAACGTGTGCCTCTCAAATGCTCAAGGTTTTCATTCTTAAGCCACTGAACTACCTCCCCGGGCCTGGGTGAGCTTTCTGTTACACTTTTTAAAATGGATTATGGCCTCAAGAAGGAACTCAATGAAATACTTAAATTCTACACTAAGTTTTCCCAATGTATTTCAACTTTTTTTGGTTTTTTGAGACAGGGACTCGCAATGTATTTCAGGCTAGACTTGGACTCACCATGTAGCGATCCTCTTGCCTCAGCCTCCTCTTGCGGGGATTACAGGTATGCGCCACCATGCCCGGCTTATTTCAACTTTTAGCAAAATCTTTTTCTGACAAACTGAAAACAGACTGATGGTCTATGAGACAACATAATTTCAAGGTAGAGGAGAAACTGTCTCCTAACGGAGGACACACACTGCACTCGGCTAAGGGCTGGGTGCCAAGGACATGAAAGATGTTCAAGAGCTAGAAAAGACCCCCACCCACCCCCACCACCGCCTCAAACAGAGTTGAGAAAAGGGGAATCCTGTTGGGTTTGGGAAGGGAAGCTTAACTGACTAGAACCGAAGTGAAAACCTTGTATTTCAAAAGTGCAATTCACACACACACACACACACACACACACACACACACACACGGTCCTACTAGGGAAAGAAATGCACTCAGAGGCTGGACTGCCCCTCAGCCAGAGCCCCCCAACCTGGAACTCCCAGCCACGCACATTCAATCACAATCCCTACTGACATTACTGAGCTCCACCCAGCTTTAATCTACTACCATCAGCTGGCTCGAACTGGAACTGCGAGGGCCTGAGCCTCTCAGTCGGATGAGCATGTTCTTATAACCAATGACCACAGAAATTTAGGGGTAGCCACTGGGCAGGGCCACGGAGGATGGTAGCACTTTCTTGTAGGGCCGAAGCTGCTACACCCCCTCAAGTTGTTTTCGATAAGGTCCTGCAGAAAGACAAGGCAGAAGAACCAGCTTAAACCAGTCAAGGCCACCCAGCCTTCTTCTAGGGTCCTCGGCCAAACTGTGCTTATTATAATCTAGTAATAATGCTAAATTCTCTGCGGGGAGCTGTTTTTGTCTCCTTTTTTAAACAAGTAACATAGGAGTAGCAGGATCTACACTGCGCGTGCACAGAAAGGCGCCCTCCTCCGCGAGGCTCTCCAGTGCAAAGGCGCCTAAGTCTTCCCAGGAAAATGCCCCTGTGCTCTGACCTGCTTAGGGAGCCACCCAGCGCCTCCTTCCCGCCCGCACCCCTTGCTCTGACCTGCTTAGGGAGGGCAGCGCTTATTCCATTGAGCCATCTCCCCGGCCCTCCTCCTGCACGCGGGAGCACCGAGCCTCCCTTCGTGGACCTCCTGGCCACGCTGATGGTCTGCTCTCACCAAGGCGCATGCGCATGGCAGGCTCCAAGAAAATGAAGACATCCTTCAGTCCTGTGACACCACCGGTCCTGTGTGCGCTGTGCTTATTTATTTAGGTGTCACACACAACACATTTCATGATCAACAGGGCCATTAGGCTTCTTTTAAAATTGCTTCCTAGAGTTTCTCTGCTATTTAGCTGCTGGTTAGGCCCACAAGCATTTATCTAGTACTTTGATCTGACCCATCAAACTTGTCCCCTCTGCTAAGTGTTCATGGTTTAAATGAACATACTTGGCTTTGGATTTTGAGATTTAAGCATTGAAAACACCAAGCAAACAAAAAACCAAAGTGAAAGGGCTTAAGGGAGGGAATCGGTGCCTAGCGATAGTTAATTTTTCTATACAGCATAATACTCAGAGCACGAGGACATGTGAGCAGAGCTTTTCAGGTACAAAAGCTCTTCTTGGGGATTAAAGCACCGGCCTCCGTCGCATGCTGCCCGCTTCCCACCGTACAACACGGGGCTGCGCGTAAAGAAGCGAAGAACGGAACGTAGGACGTCAGAGCAGCAGCGTGTGCTCAGGACACGCAGAAGACAGCAGGCCTCGGCGTCTGCAAAGCCTGAGACCTGGGGCCCTCGCTGCATTCACATGAAAGCTGAAGTTCTGCTACTGCACAGAGTCTACCCAGTATTTGTCCACATTTCTGAAAATTATATCTAGGTCTAGACAATTTAAAATTTTTTAACTTTCAGTGAAGAAAATATGTTAGTTTGATGAGACTAGTGATATTCTGGCAGACACAAAGTAAAACTCAGCAAAGTAAGTGGTCTGTTAGCCTTAGCACATCTACTCAAAATTCAATATTCAGAAAGCTGCTGGGAATGGGAGGACGGGGAGAGGGAAAGGAGGGCAGAGAAAAAGAGGGGAGAGAAGGGGAGGGGGAGGGGAGGAAGGGGGAGAAGGACAAGGAGGGAGGGGGCGGGAGACAGAGACAGGAAGGGAGAGAGTGAGACTGGGAGGGACAAAGGGAAAGAGGGAGGGAGGGGAGGAGGAGGGAGGGAAGGAGGGAAAGAGGGAGGGAGGGGAGGAGGAGGGAGGGAAGGAGGGAAAGAGGGAGGGAGGGAGGGAGAGATTCAGAGATTCAGAGATGCAGCGAGGAGAACCAGATGGCTGAGAAATAAAGGGCAGGGGACACATGAAGCGGCCTGACACCCACAGATCAGGAACGTCCCGCAAGCAGAGCAATGGTGCCATAAAAGCCACCACACTGCGCACAGCGCGGCTGCGCACGCCTGGAGAGCACACGGTGACACAGTGACACACGGCACGTAATGCTGGGTAAGCACCGATGCTACCAGTTTGCGTACCGACCATGTTCTTAGCATTATTTCACAGCATACTCCTCCTACTTCACATAAACCACACCGCTGCCATGGTACGCAGGGCAGCCTCACCCAGCACCCCTCACGTGGAGCCCAGTGTGGGGACTGACCTGGGCCAGCCAGGCTTGGGAAAATGCGCTCTGATGTGTGCAAGGCGACACGGCCGCCTAAGGACGCATTCCTCAGAGCATGCCTGCCATTACTGCGGTGCAACCATCCTTCCAGTGTCGGGTAGTAACGGATGGCTCTTGGCCAGTGAGCGCAGAGCAAGGAAAGAGAAACGGCCATGGAGTGAGACTCTTTTAATAATTACATACATTTCCTGAGAACAATAAATCTAGAAACTGCAAGCAATATATGTAACAGTAACATTTTCTTAGAAAGTACTTGTATACAACTTAACAAGCAAACTATTTTTGGAAGTTAGCACTAGGAAAAGCTACACAACGGAAGAAAATTAATAGTGAAATGAAAAATTATTTCTTCTTGACCCCAAGTGTGGAAGGTCCCACTCCAGGCAGCCCAGCACGGGGTCAGGGCAGGACCAGAGGCCAGTTCAGCTTCGGGCAGCAGCAGTCTGAGGCTGCTCAGATTGGAGCTGTTTGCCAAGATACTCCCTAGAAAACAGGAATACAAGGCAAATTAGAACTTCAGCAACAAAGATTCACTGTCAAGATGAAAAAGTACTAACAAAGTAGCCTGGAACACAAAACTTTTCCGAATTTCAGAAGTGCCTGTGCACCGTGTGAATTCTACCAGTGTTCCATCCACAAACAAGTCGTGACACACACGCTGGGAACGTGCACTCACACAGACAGGACACGCTTCTCAGGCAAAGTCTCGATCTTGCTTACAGAAAGGTCTTATTTATTACTGCTCAAAACTCCGTTATGATTCCAAGTGGTCGCAAACATGAGAAACAAATTTCCTAGTGTGAATGCGCATGCGCGCACACACAGCCTGGGGCACGCACAGAGCACACAACGATAGAGCGCAGAGGTTTCACCAAGAGCACAGCGCTCTCAGGACAAATCCTGAGGGGATTTCACTGACCTTATCAGACCCAAAAGAGCCAACTCTTGTTACATAGGTCCTGCTTTACCTTGGTCTTAACCATCCAGCAGAAAAGTATAAAAACGAAGCATAGGAAGTAAAGCCATATTATTATGCTGAGCCGTAAAAAGCACAAGTCAACAACTTCTGACATTGCCAGTTCTACGGAAGACCCAATACTATTATGGACTACTGGACTATTTTGGAATATTTTGCTGAATTCACACACCTATAATATTTAAATGACAAAGCTAAACAAAACAAAAAGGGGATACAAATGAATGACCATTTTGTATCTGTATATTCAAAATAGTTAAGAAAGATATATAGCTACATTCTCTTAATACAATAGAGGGATTTGTTCTAATAGTGTTTGTAAATAGGATATCATGTCTGCATCTTGTACAACAAATAACCACTAAGAAAACAATATGCAATGTATTAATTATTGAAATTGTCCTACTAATTTGATTTAAAACTGTCTGATTGCTATTTGTTTCTCAATAAAATTACGGGAAAAAAGAGCACAGCACTGACCAGGGCTGCTATTACAGACATGAGCGGGGCTGTGCAAGGGTCCCAGAGACGAGGCGCAGTGTGCTCACCCCACAGCGGGGCACCAGTGCAGCATTCACGCGACTTCCTACACTCCACTTCAGAGACCAAAATGCACATTTCCGGTATCACATGCGATGTGCACACGCAGCTCTAGACTGTGTACAGGACCGGCCTAAGTCCAGCACAGCAAGAGGTTGTTGTCCTCTTTTCAATGAAGACGCAGACGTGCTCAGGTCCGAGGCTGGGGCCATTCCGCCACCTCTTCAAGTGGCCCCATGGCCTCTCCTGGTGGAAGCGCTGCCAGAAGACTGCCTGTGGGCACCCAGAGTCTACCGGTGAAGGCAGGTCTGCCTCTCTCCAGAGCCTTACTGAAAGGGGAGGGGCAGCCTACACGCTCTGCCCACCTGTGCCACCTTCGGCCATCAGAGCCGCTCAAAATGACCAAGATGCGAAGTGAGGCACCACTAGCACTCTGGCACCCAGCAAGGGCAGGTGCCACGCAGTGCCAAAGGGCAGGGGACAGGAAATCATGAGCCAGAGTATGTGAGGCGGCAGGGAGCCCTCTTGCCAGAAGCTGAATAAAGAGAACGGTGATTTCGAGCGCTGAGCGAGTGACTCCAACACCTGTGACTTCTTTGTCTTTGCAGGACACCTCCGCAGCCAGCCGACTCACTCACTTTGAATGCTATGTTATATACACAGTATGTGACATTCCCGCGTTACCAGCCACTGTCCTAATACAGATAGTAATGCGCTCTGTTAAGGAGGTCTTCAAATGTTCCAGTGTTAAGCTTTGGACTCATAACTCTGCACACGGGGGCCGGGGAGGCGGCTCAGTGGATCAAGCATTTCCCTGGCAAGCACAAGGGCCTGAGTTCAATCCCCAGTTCCGCAAAAAAAAAAAGAGTAAGTACTCATAACTCTGCACACACACACAGGAGGGACTGCAGGACAATGTGACACACTTCACACTGCTGACACACTAGTCAAGTGTATTCTTTTAAAGGAACATTATAAAAGTGAACTTAAAGACACGGGCATTCTTTAGTTACAAGCTCTGGTTCTTTCTTAGACTCACGCTTAAGGGCCAAGCTCTACTCTAAGCTCCAAAGACCAACAGCAAGAACGTGACAGCAACCCCAGGGCCCGGGCCGTGACTGCTGTGTGCGCAGTGTGTCCCTGCAGCGGCCCCAGGGCCCGGGCCATGACTGCTGTGTGCGCAGTGTGTCCCTGTGGCGGCCCAGGGCCCGGGCCATGACTGCTGTGTGCGCAGTGTGTCCCTG